GACCGCGGGGAACGGCGGGCTCGGGCCGGGGACCGCGGGGCCGGGGTCGGCGGAGGAGCGGACCGGGGGCCTGGTGGGCGACCCCGCGGGGCAGGACGGCCGAGGGGCCTGGGCGGGCGGCGGGGTCGCGCTCTCCCCGCTTTGCGAGGCGTCCGGTAAGCTCGCGGGTGCAGCGCTGAGAAGCGGACCGAGGCGTGGAGACGCGAGCCAGCGTCTGCTCCCAGGAGAGCAGATAGCTCCCCGTCAACTTTTTGTCTGAACTTTTCAAAACGATCGGGGACGTCCCGTGTGGTGCCTGCGCTGTGGTGCTGCGGCAGCCTTCCTCCTGGGCGCGGAACCCTCGGCGGGCCCGGTCCTGCGCCTGACGCCCCGGGTGCTGCCAGCGCCGGCCACCGCCTTCGCGGTGGAAAGAAGGAAGCGCTCGCTGGGGCTGCTTTGGCCCCGGAGCTGTCGGCCGTCGTGAGTGTTGCAGAGCGCGTTGCTGTTGGGAAGGGTTTCTGGGAGAGGCTTGAGTTACGGATTCTCCGTACGAGCGCTAGTTCGTATTGATTCTGTATGCACTGTGTAGAGTAATTGCTGCTTTTCAGGAAAAAAAAAATCCCTGTAGGTTTGTTTGTTTTTTAAAATCAGAATAAACGCCAGTGAGCTATGTGAGCCTGCAAAATTGTGGAGACTGGCTGAAGTTTCCTAAGTTGTAGAATCATTGAATACCTTTGTTTAGTGTTGGATGCAACTGATTGTGGAGGAAAGGCATTAATGAGGACGCTTGCCTTTTCCAGTGATTAAATTACTTGTATAGTTGAAGTGACAGCGGTACATAACCAATGGACATAGAACTTTTTGTACACAAGTCAGTTACTTGGTAGAGTACAACTTACCTTTTTGTGTTTATAAAGGCAATATGTTAATACACTGTAGAATAAAGTCTTAGGGTAGTATATGGTTATTCTTCAAGTTGAGAACTCTTATGAATTCTTTTCTAGCATAACATACAGATCCTAAGAAATCTTACGCGTTGATAATTGAGGAAACTTTCAAATTCTTGTTCTGTTGTCATGTTATTGGGAATGATCATGCTGGCTAGTTAACATTTTGCTGCAAAATGTTTTTCAAAGTTACTGTCTGCATCTACTGTGGCACTGTGTTGGGTGTCCTGTTAATTTTCATAACCCTTTTTGTGGATATCCCCACTTTATAGGTGAGAAAGCTAAGACTCAGATGTTAAATAACCATGGACCATTACAAAACAAGTATGGAGCGAGCTGAATTTGAATTTAAGAGTGTTTGATTATTAAAAAACAAAACAAAAAACCTTGGTCTTACACGCAGAGCTGGAAATGGCTTCTTTCCTTTCCTTCATCCAGCAGTCCCCAAAAGGGACAGCTGCATTCTTCCCTGGATTAGGTACTGATGTTGTCTAAAGTTGGTAAATTACCAAGGACCATCCTTCATGTTTTTATGGGAGGAAGTGAACTACATAGAGGTTAAGTAGCTTAACTTGTTAGTTAGTTGCAAAGCCATATTGTGTCTTGACTACCAATGTGGTAGTTTCGACTTTGAATAGATGATACATGTATGTGCCCAAGTTAAAAAAAAAAAAAAAAAACACTGACCAAACAGTACAGAGGGAGGATAGGCCTCACTTTGCCTGCAGGTCCACTTTCCAGAGGTAGTGTAATGCTGTCACCATTTTCTATCTGCCGCACAATGTGGAATGCTTATGGTAGTGTTGGCCCTTCATATCAGCGGGTTCCACATAGGTGGAGTCCACCAACCATGGATCATAAAGTACAGCCACACATCATTTTAACAAGCTGCACAGATGCTGAGGGAGGGGTGGTCACCTGTTGAAGGTTTGTGATAACCCTGTGATGAGTAAGTCTATAGGCACCATTTTCCCAATCCTCAGATTATCATTAGCAGTTTTTAGCGCCAAAGTATATTTTAAAGTATATACATTGTTTTCTTAAACATATGATATTGCATACTTTATAGGCTACAGCGTTCTGCAAACGTGACTTTTCTAAGTACTGGGAATCCAGAAAATTCGTGTGACTCGCTTTATTGTAGTGGTCTGGAATCAAACCTGCAGTGTCTTTGAGATAGACATGTATTTAATAAAAATTAAGAGGCTCGCAGTCCCTTGGTATCCCGCAGGATTGCTTCCAGGGTACCCCCAGCCCCAAGGGTACCAAAGTCTGTGGGCACTCAAGTCTTGTAGGAAATGGTATAGTCTTTACATACAACCGACATGTGTGTTCCGGTATACTTCATCTTCTCTGTATTGCTTAGAATACTTAATACAATGTAAATCCTTTGTAAATGTTGTCATGCTGTATTAGGGAATGACGACAGGGAGAAACGTCTGCCATTGTTCAGCCTGGCATAGTGACTCATGCCTGTCACCCAGCAGTCTGGGAGGCCGAGGCAGGAGGATCACAAGTTCATGCCCAGCTTGGGCAACATAGTAACAATGAGAGCTTGTCTCAAAAATATTTTTAAGTGAGCGGGGGATGTGTAGCTCATTGGGAAAGTCCTAGGTTCAGTTCCCAGTACTGCCCCCTTAAAAAAACCTTTTTTTCCCATTTACAGTTGGTTGAATCTGAGGATGTGAAACCTGAATTTATTGAACTCAGGCTGTACATATTTAGGGACAATAAGAGCTCACCCACCACCCCCCATGCACTATTCTAAGCCTACCCTGAGATTTTTCATATTAGTACAGATTTTATATCATTATTTAAGGTTGTTGCATTCCCTTGTTTGGGTATACTAATTTTCTTTTTTTTTTTTGGTACCAGGAATCGAACTTGAGTCCTTGCACCACTGAGCTAAATCCCCGGCCCGGGGTATACTAACTTTCAAATCACTTCTTGATGATCAGATAGGTTTTTCTAGTGTTGGGGCTGTGTAGATGTTTGGGTAGACTCTGAAATTCACACTCACTTGAATTAAGTACCAGCGACATGTACCTCATACTCATCTTTGTCCTATTTTTTCCTGCTGTAAAATGGGCCAGTATTTACCACACAGGACAGTCGGATACATGACACACATGCTGTGCTTAGTAAGTTCTCTTGGCGGGGGGCCGCGGCATATATATCCTCCAAGAATATCTTGCACACTGATTAATGGAAGTGCAGCTCTGTCCAGAAAGTATGTGTGTGAGACTTTAAGATCTTGCCGTGTTGTCCCTCATAGAGGCTGAACTGGTTTACACAGCTGCTGTTCTAATACATCAGTGAGCTGTATACGCACTGAGGAAACTTCAGCTCCAGTTTGGCCTCGGTTCTTCAAACTAATCAAAGAAATTGCTTTTATTTGGGGTTTTATTTTTTCCTTTGCTTTACTGAATGTGTCCTAAAATGTTAGTCTCTCACATCACATTTAATTTTTTTTTTTTTAGAATCAACAAAAAAACATTGCTTGCTGCTTTAAAAAAAAAAATTGATTCCAAAATCGTGGAATTGCTAAGGTCTGCTTTGGTATCAAATGTAGGCTTTCTACTAATGTTTTTGTCAAGGATTACCAAAATTTAGAATCTTTTAAACTTACAGAGATTAACCAGCTTTCTTTTAAGGATTGATAGAATTCAGTATTACCAAGAAAAAAATTGGTGTAAAAGGGCAATAATGATTACTTTTTCTCTTTATTTAGATATAAGCCAATAGTTGATCCACTGCTGCGCCTTTGGCTTTCTTTAATGATCAGGGAGATTTCCTCTGGCTGATTATTTCCCAGATTGATTTTAGCACAATTCTGCTTTCCCTACTCCTCATTCCCCCCAGTCCCTGCCAACAAGGCATCTGTTTAGGAATCTCTGCCTCTGCATAGCTGGGATATTTTAGGAATAATGCTCTGACCAGCAGCTAAAGTGTTGGCTATAAGCTGCTGACACCTGTTGAAAAGTGCCAGAAATTTTAGTTTTTAAAACCTCTAGAATTTTTTACATATGTCAGTTATGAGATCGCTTGGTGTGTATCCCATGTACTTACTCATTAAGCACATACTTATTAATTGTCATGTGGCAAACAGTATTTTAGAAGTTTTATGTTTATTTGGAACTGTGTTACTTCCATAGAGAAACTTGGATCTTTAATGTATGACAGTGTCTTATGTTTCTAAGAACAGACTTCCGTATTGGACTTACATAAAATTCTCTAGGTTTTGTTAATAACCCTGTAGGCGCAGCTTAAGTTTGACTTTCATGGGCTTTTTAAGATGAGGTGGAAGCACTGATTTGAGCATAGGAGTCTCTCTGATTACGAGGAGCACATTCCCTAGTTTAGTATGCCTTAGTTCTGAACTGAGATTTGGAAGGAAGGTTACACTGTTAGCCACTTGATGAACCCTTTCCACCTAGCCCCTCGTCCTTTGGAAAAAAATTTTCCAATTATGACATTAATGCTTTCCTGGGAGCATTCGTTCAGAAAAATGCGAATTTCAGACCCCTTTGTCAGCAAGTGATGGGAAGTGGGAAGTAAGGCACACCTGACTGCACTACTTATCCACCTCACCCACCCTCTTCCTTGGTATGTTTAACTGAAATACTTTCTCTACATCGCTGGAAAGGATGGACACATTTGTAATGAAAATACAATAAGCAAATTCCCTTTAAAATGTACAGTTCTCCTTCATGTCAAAATATGAGAATTATAGAATTATTGTGGGTTTTTTAAAAAAACTAATATAAAAGAGATCTTACATACCCACCAGCAGTGTAAGACTAGATTCCACTTTTCTGTGTCCTCTTGAGCATTTGATGTTGCTGCTTGTTTATTCTAGCTTCTGTAGTGTGTGGTGGTAACCCTTTAAGCTAAATTTATATTTTAGTAAGTTTGCATTTTCTTAGTGGTTTAGTGGTAGTGCTTATTTGCCATAGATATGTCCTCTTCATTTCTCTTGCTTGTTTTCAAATTGGATATTTTACTTATTTTTTTTTGAAGTCAGAATTATATTTATTTTACATTGATAGAAACCATAAAAAGCATTTATATTGTCCCACATTACAGCACAACATTTCAATGGAATATTTCTTGCTATAAATAAGATCTTACTGACTTGTATAACTGAAATAAGTCCACAGTTCTTCAAGGTAAAACAGAATGACATAGTAAATGATTGTTTAAAAATTTTAAATCCAGATAAACATATGGCTTCATTATAAACATCCTATGTAGTCCATTACCAGATTATTTCCACGACCAATTAGCACCGTAAAGATGCATTCTTAACATTGTTGTGGTAAGTTGAAATACAGCAGAAAATTAACATAGTTCAGAAATATTAAGCATGTATTTTTGCTACATCTTAAACTGTATGGTAACTTCCATATTTATAGGGTTCTGATTAACCTTTATTACCCCAAAATTTATTTTCAAATAATTTTTTACTATTAACCTGGAGATTTTGACTATTTAATATCAAATTGGATATTTTAAATTCTTGAGTCTTGAAAGTTCTTGACATAATCTAGATCCAAGTTTTAATCAGATAATACAGTCTGTGACTATCTTTTCCTAGTCTATTCCTTGTCTTCATTGTCTTGGGATTTTTTTGTAGAACAAGTTATTCGTTTGATGAAAGCCAGTTTAGTGAGTACTTTTCTGTATAGTGTTTATGGTGTTGTGTATAAAATATTCTTGACCAAGATTTAAGCACCAAAGATGTTTCTCTAAAAGTTTTACAGTTTCACAGTGGAGTCTGTTCTCATTTGAATCACTTTGGGGTGGGGGGTACAGGGGATCAAACTCCTCAGGACCTTGTGCTTTCGAGGCAGGCGATGGAAGCAGAATCACATTTTATATAACCGGAGAGATTGCGGTCACGTTTCTGTTTGGGTTTCATGGCAGTGGTGGTGGTGGTTTGTGTATGCTCTTGTTTTGCCCATGGATGAGCCACTCCTGCACCATTGGCTGAGGAATCTGTCATTCTTCCTTTGAATTGCTTGTGCATGGTCTCTGCCTGGGTTCTGTTTTGTCCCATTGACCAGTGTGTCTCTTCCTACCCGTACCACGGTGTTGACTGTTGTAGCTATCTAAATCTTGAAATAGGTGGGCTAATTTTTCCCGTTTTATTTTTCATCTTTACAATAACTTTTCTAGCTCCTTTGCCAGTCCATACAAATTTTAGAATAATCTTTTCTGTAGTTGTGAAATCTCACTAAGATTTTGGTAGTCTTGTTAAAGTTTCATGAAAGCTAAATACACACTTAACCATATTACGTAGCAGTTATAGGTCAGGACATCTGCCTTAGAGAAACTAAATGTTCACCATAAGTCTGTGTATAATATTTTTAACAGCTTTAGTGGTAGTAGACCAAAACTAAACAACCAAATAGCCTTTAGTAGGTGGATGGCAAATTGTGGTATATTTTTCATGCACAAAATGCTGCTCAGCAGTAAGAAGGACCATACTGTTGTTGGATAAATACAACAAGATGAATGGAGCTCAAATATTTTGCTGAGACCCAAAAGTCACGTAGTATATGATTCCATATTCCCAAAATGAGACATGTAGACAACAGTGTAGGTTGCCAAGGCTTAGGAACAGTGGGGAGCAGGGGCTGGGTGTGGCGCTTTTATCTGTGTCTCATCTAAGTGGACATCACACGGATCTACACTAGCGGTACAGTGGTGTGGAGTTAGCGTGCACAGGGACCCAAGCCAGTGCTTAGGGATCACACTCTGGTGGCTGTGCACCATGTCACCAGTGGGGCGAATGCGGGTAAGGGACTTCTCCACTGTTTCCACACCTACCTGTCGCTATAATTATTTCAAAATTGAGTAGTTAAATTTCAAGGGTTTTTTGTGTATTACAGGTGTGCTTTATTTCTACAAAAGCGAGAATTAATATTATAGTTATGGACATATTAAAAAAAGATAGAAATTCATTTGGCAAGAAGTTTTTCTTTGAAGAAGGCAAGTTAATATAAAGAAAACATCAATTTGCACTAATAATTTACTCTGTCAGATTGAAGTTTTCAGGCTGCATGTCATTATAAATACACTAGCTTGTTGAAAGAAAAATAATTATCAGTAACATGCTGGTAGGTCTGTGTAGACACCTGCTTTTCAAGGGCTTGGATTAAGAAAACAATATACATGATAGTTTTGAGCCTCGGTTTTTTTAAACTACATACCCACCTGTAAAATGGGACAAACACACCCACTCAGCTGCACTTGATGCCCTAAGGATTGCTTACCATGATCTTGTTACAAAGTAACAATTACTGTACAAAGCATATAGCTATGAACCTCAGTTTTTAATGGAATTCTAAAAGGGGATTTCCACACTGATAGCTGTGCCCGAGTATCTTTCCTCATAGACATTTTCTCTTGCTGGGAAAGGCATCTTCTCTAGTGTTTAGTCAGTAGGGAGACTCTTCCGCCCCCAGTAATCAGGATAGAAATGGAATTAATGCTTAATGAAACTTCAAAAAGAGTAAGTTTTCTCTTGACCAATTTTAAGGTAAGAGGTCATTAAAGTAATTTGAAACTTCTGTCCCTTTTCCCTTTAGCTTTTGGAATTTTGGGATCTTTTTCTTTCCCTCAAAATTAAAACACTAGGATGTTTTATATAATGCAAATATCTTTGAGTCTTTTATATTTGTTCTATTTAAAGTAAGAAACTTGTGTTTTCAGATTTCTAAAATGTCTTAATAATGCTTCAGTTCTCATATAGTACTTATGTTAACTCTTTCTCTCCTCAGGTTTCCTCTTGTTTTGTAGTCAACAAGAACAATGTTCTACGCACATTTTGTCCTCAGTAAAAGAGGGCCCCTGGCCAAAATTTGGCTGGCGGCCCATTGGGATAAGAAGCTAACCAAAGCCCATGTGTTTGAATGTAACTTAGAGAGCAGCGTGGAGAGTATCATCTCACCAAAGGTACGTTTGGTTTGGTGTTGGTAATGTTACCTACTTTGTTTACTCATACGTGAAATAGAACTTACAGAACAACTCTTATAGGTAGTCATCTGTTGATATATAGTGGAGGCAAGGAAAATCTGTGGGTTTTCCAGTTTTCTTTTATTATTTTGTCTTTATCACCTTTAGGTAGGTTTTGATATGTCACAGTTTGATATTTTCTTTAAAAATTCTGTAAGTGTGCAGCTATTTTTCATTTGCCTGTTTTAATGGCAAGTAAACAATGTATAACATTATCCAAATATTTTATAATTAACCTTCTAGGAGTTTTTACACTTAAGTGTAAGTGTTCCTGATTGAGGAATTTACAAACTATATATATTGGAAGTGGGAGATTCATTAGGTTTGAGGTCCAGATCTAGCTGTCTTCATCTGCCTAGCAAGTCTGTTCACACCACTTGCTTCCCCTCAGGCTCGCAGCCTCCCTGTACTGCCCGCCTGCCACAGGATGTGGTGCTCGGTGCCCTTCCAAGGAGGCCTCTCCTGCCACATTCTCGCTCCCTTACTGAATTACTTCTGAATTCCACTGCGGGGGTGGAAGCCTTGAGGAGCCCTTGTTGACTTGTAAGAATGTTTTGAAGCAGTGGTTTCTACACATGTATTTCACAAATAGTATGACTGTAAGGCAGTATAGAATTTTTGCTTTGCCAAGAAAAAAAACTTTAAAGCACATGAGATGTAATTGTCATCTACTATTATAATGTAGCATTTTATTGAAAACAAACATGTTGACATGAAAAATGTATACAGGGCTAATCTGAAAGGAAAAGACCTTACATATATTCCTGTCTGTATTTTAAATGCTTTTCCTGTACCGTAAAGCTCTACACATGCATGTACCACCTGTCCTGTAGTGAAAATGCTCCAGCTCACAGCTGTGGGGACCAGCATTGGGAAATACTCTCTTAGATTTGCCACTTTAGACAGTGTTGGCATAAGGTATTAAAGATTCTTTATTGTTGGAAAAATCAAAGAATCTCAAAAGAATAAGGCAGGGGATGTAGTAGAGACTGATTCCAAAAGGTATTGTATATTACTAAGTCAGCCAATCTGAAAAGCCTTTGTATGGTATCATTCCAGCTGTGGGACACTCGGAGAAGACAAAACTGTGGAGATAGTAAAAAGATGAAGGGCTAGGGAGAGAAGGACGTGTGAATAGAAAGAGCACAGAAGTTTTCTTTTAGGGCAGTAGCTATTCTGCCTTTTACTGTGGTTTATGCAAATCGTTATATATTTGATATTAGTGCAAACTAACAGGATGTACAAAACCAAGAGTGAATCGTAATGTGAACTGGACTTTGGGTAATAATAATGGCAGTATAAATTTGTCTTATGGTAAATGTGCCACTGTGATGAGGGTATAGACAGCAGGGAAGGTCTGCATGTGTGGAGGCGGGCAGTGTATGCCAAGTGTCCACCTCTCAGTTTTGCCAGGAACCTAATACTGCTCTAAAAAAGTCTTTTTCGATGCTGATGCTAGAGCTGTGGACAGAACTTTTCTTGAATGCGGTCTTAACAACAAATCAACATAATGCAGTTTTATGTAAATATACATGTGAAAATGTTTACGTATGTGTACACATGACAAAATACACGTACATAAAACATACACACGGAAAAGCCTACAAGGTATGTAAAAATATTATTAAAGATTTATGTAATGGAGGGACTACAGGTTGCCTCTTCTGAAAATAACCATTTAGTAAACACTTCTGGTTCCATCCTACAGTCTTTCCTTAAGATGGATGTTTAGAAATATAATTGGTAAGCTAAGTGGCACTCTTCTTTTTAAGATTCCTTTTCTGCATTAATAACTTGCTCTCTGGTGAGACTGGCATTTGGCACTACTGGTCATTTGTATGAGAATGTGGTGTTGCTTTAATAGGTTATGCTCCTTGAGCTCAGTAAATAGCGAGGGGAGAAATTGCACTGGGGGTTGATGTGTGTAGCTAATTCTTAGCATCCTTTAGCAAATCATTGGGAGTGACTTGTCTCGAAAGGCTGCCATTTTCCTTGTGTGCATGTGCACAATGCTCCAGGTGATGTGAGCTGATCTTTTACATAAGGGCGGCACAAACAACCACAGAGCACTCAGTTCAGGAATAATGTAAAAGACAGTATGTGTGCAAGAGTGAATAAATAACTCCCTTTACAGTTTTTAGAACATTTCTTTTTTTTTTTTTGGTACCAAGGATCAAACTCTGGACCTTGCCACCTGCAAGGCAGGCGGCGGAACCATGAGCTAAATCCCTGGCCCTTTAAAACATTTCTAAGTGGGTTTTTGTTTGATTGATCTTTTTATCGCAATAGGATGTAAGGATATTTCCACAGAGTCCGCTGCCGTGGATGTTTCTAATGTTTGCTTTGCAGTGTGGTTCTCCTGAGGAAATGTTGGTTTAGGGTCTGGAGCAAGTGTCAGACTTGTGGCTTGGGTGCCCCTAAAGCTTGCATGGCCTCCCTGCCCTGTTGACCTTCGGAAGAGCCTCCGTCACACCCTTGCAGCACTTCCCCGGGGTAGCCCTGGTCTTTCTTAGAGTCACTGCCTCCACTTGTGCTCCTCGGCCTGCACGCACTGACACCACACCTCATTCTGCCTTCTCTGAGCCAGGCTGGTCCAGAGAAAGCTTTTGTCCACACATCACTTTTTGGAAGTTGCTAATTCTAGACAAGGTAACGACAGGGACAGGCAGAACTGTCCTCCTTCCTTCGGTGACACTTCAGTCAGTGATGAGACAAGAGAGGAGTAGATTCTGCTTTTCCAGTCGGAGCCATATTTTGCTTGGAAGTTAGTTTTTGTCAGGTTTATCACCTTCCTGTCCTAGGTTTAATCACAGATGAGTTACAGTTTTAGATACCTGAAAATTTATAGCAGTAAACTATAATTTATGCTGTGATTTTCAAGAAATGACCATAAGTACCCAGTTTAAGACTTGTAATTAGGGTTCTTGGTGTGCCGTGGAGTACACGTATTAAGAGTAATGTATTAATCAGTGCACATTTTAAGCAGATGATTAACAATTTTGTTGCCTTAGGATTTGGTGAGTTTTATGGCTTGATTTGGAAAACTATCTTGGGAAGTTTGAGCTCATAATGTCTTATCTCTCCATAAACTTTCCTTATAGCTTGAGGGATTTTGAATACTGCTCTTTAGATTGAGTGCTTACTTATCTCCTTTTCTGAACACTGTTCTCACACTATACACGTTAGCATTGATCAAGATCTTTCTTGAAATTTAAAAAAAAAACAAAACAGTAAGTTGTGTTTTTTCTAATGAAAAAAGATGGATGTTGCTATCCTTTGCATTACTGTTTTTTTTCAGTCAAGTAATAGAAACATAATGAAAAGAGGTTTGAGCAGCATTGTTGCTGGGAAGATTGGAAACAGGAAGATCTAGGGTAGTTGGTTCCCAGCTCAGGGTTCCAGTTTGTGGGCTGATTGTCCGGACTTCCAGTATCACGGTTACAGGATGACCGTAAGCATCTCGGACACTGCCCTTGCAAAGCAGGAAAGGGGTGAGGAAAACATTCTTTCTCAGAAAGTCACTGGCGTACTTTACCCTTATTTCTCAGTTGATTGACGTGTACTACATGCCTGCTCAATAGCATTAGCAGAGAAGAATGAGACCCTCTTCCTTCCAGGGTAGGGGCGTTTGCTTCTGAAAGAACACCAGAGTTGAGGATAGTCAGCAGGGAGCAGGGCCTGGTTCCCATCAGGTCTCCACACTGTGGAGTGATTTTAGTTCCTGTTTCATAGCTACCTTTGTGGCTATTAATTCCCGAATTACTACCATCCAGTCTGTTTTGAGAGGGGAATACTTAGGGAATTTATAGGTCAAAAAATATGGGTGATTGTGAGGTAAGGAAAATAAATGATAAAAGGTATAAAAAGGAAGTTAAAAACTCCATATAAAATAGCACAGAAATGCAAGCTTTGAGATGTAGTTCCTCTAAAACTGTAAAATTATTAATGTTTTATTTCTAGGTGAAGATGGCTCTGCGAACCTCAGGACATCTCTTACTGGGGGTAGTGCGAATCTATCACCGGAAAGCCAAGTACCTTCTCGCAGACTGTAATGAAGCATTCATTAAGATAAAGATGGCCTTTCGGCCAGGTATTGTATTTTTTTCTTTGCTTTTAAAAATTTTTTGTTTTTGGTGTTTGGCACATTTTATTAGAAAACTGTTAAAAACATAGTCCAGCTCAGAAATACTGCTTTTTTGGTTTTGTCTTGTTTTGTTTTGTTTGGTACTGGGGATCGAACTCGGGACCTTGCACTTGCGAGGCAGGGGACTGAACCATTGAGCTAAATCCCCGACCTCTCAGAATATTGTTTTATTTCCTTAACAGTGCAAGGAACCCTTCAGAGATGGAACAAGACACTTGGAGAGGCAGGAGTTCTAGGGAAGCCTGCTTAAATCTCTCTTACCTGTGGAATAACAGTTTTTTACCTTTTTCTTTCCAGAAACTTATATAGAAGTGAGTCATCAGAGGTTGAGATGTAGACATCTACTTATAGATCAAAAGACAGTTTTAAGATTTTAATTTTTCCTAAATAATTTTAATGCACTTTTAAAATCAAATTCACTTTTAATATATTGGGATGTTTATCTGAATTCACGTATTGTTATGTTAATTTTTAAGGATTGACGAAATTTTATGTAAAATCTAAATGTATGAGATTCCTCATACAATAGTTTCTATTGAAGTTATATTCTAGTACTTCAGTTTTAGTACACGAACAGTAAAATGTGTGAGATCTAAGATTTTATTTAAAAGTAAAATATTTAGGCAAAGTCTGACATTTGAATGATTTCTAACATATGGCCCCTAAATGCATTTTCTTTAAGTAACATGATTTTTGTTTTTGTCTTTTAAAGTAATGGATATGTATTATGGTTAGCTTGAAATATATATCCTTTTCTTTTTCCCTCTCTACTTATACCCCTGTTATTTTATTTTAAATTTTTATCATGAAGATTTTTCCTTGTAGCTAAAATTGAGTCCCTGCTCTCCCCAAAATAACCAGCTTGTTTGCAGGTCATTCCTTTTCCCCTCAAAAAATTTTGTGTTTAATTAGAAAACCGTTACTGATACTTATTTGTTGATAAATCCTTTTAAAGATTTATCAGCTTAATGCATAATTAGTGTTTGGGCTTTTTTATTTGAAGTAGGTGGTGTGGCTTATAATAGAAAAACACGTACTTCTTGTTCCAAGGTGCTTTGCATGTGTTGTGTTATCACTTGGCCTAGAATACAACCTTGGGAAATTATTCCCATTTTACCATCTCATCCCTAGAGAAATCTGTGACCATCAGGCCTTCTTTGAGCAAAACATTTCTTTTCCAGGTGTTGTTGACCTGCCTGAGGAAAATCGAGAAGCAGCCTATAATGCCATCACATTACCTGAAGAATTTCATGACTTTGATCAGCCACTGCCAGACTTAGAGTACGTCTTCTCAGTGCCTGTCTCCCTCTCCCTCTCCCTCTCCCTCTCCCCTCTCTTGCTCCCTCCCTCCCCCACCCAGCTTGGTGTACACAGCCTATTACTGATTTCCAAGTACACAGTTTTTATATTGAGGTAACTCTAGCTGAAATGCATATTATGCTTTTATTTGGGGTAAAACATATAATCTAGAAAGTTTTTCTTCTATAAGAAAATTGGATGTCAATTTGTAACAGCTAAGATTATGAGAATTCGATTATTTTTTATATTTTTTCAGAGGTGTGTGTTACAGTTACCTGCTAGCAGTCTTTTTGGCCAGGCTGTACTTAGAGCCTATTTTTTTTGTTTGTTTTTAATAAATATAACTTTTTGTGAAGAGCAGGAAAATTTCGCTGTCAGGACACACACTTCAGAGAAGAAAGTCGTACATACAGATGCTGTTACGGCAGCCCTGTGGTGTGTTATTTCCCTCTTCCTCAGCCCTTAGAGTCCAGCTGCTGTCCCATGGGGAACTCTACATGGCCTGCAGCACAGTTGACAGCCAAGAAGTCTCTGGACCCAGCCCCACTCTGATTTTGGAGATGATCTGTGACTTTAGAATAAATGTTTCACCTGTTTGCCTATTTTGTGTTAGTATTGGACACTAGTTGTTTTACTTTTTTTCTCTCCTTATACCCATCATTTTACTTTAAATTATTTTATGACAGTTTTTAAATGTAGCTAAAAGCAAAGAGATTATTATAAACCTCAAGTATTAGTTTATTTATCAATATACTTCCAGATTTTTTGTTTTGTTTTTTATTTGGTTTTGTGGGGCACGGGTGTTTGGTTGGTTGGTTGGGTTTCTTTTGAGACAGAGTCTTGTTACGTGGTTCAGGCCAGTCTTGAACTCACTATGTAGCCCAGGCTAGCCTCAAACTCTCAGCAATCCTCTTGCCTCAGCCTCCTGAGTCCTGGGATTACAGAACTGTGCCATCATGCTCAGCAGTGCCAGTTTAATTTTATCTGTGTTTTTCCAGCTTACCTCCCACCCTCTCTAAATTATTTTAAATTAACTGATCATTTCATCTGCAGTAATTCACTATTGTCTCTACCGAGTTAAGAGATTTTTTAAAACAAACCCATAATAATATCACACGTTAGAAATACCAGTAATTTCTTAGTGTGATATTCCGTCAGCATTTAAATGTCCCTAGTTGTAGTTGGCATGTGGACATTTTTGTTCTCTCTCTCTCTCTCTCTCTCTGTCTCATCTTATCTATCTCTGCATTTATTTTCCCTTCATTTTGGGACTGCACAAAGCGTACAGACTGCATTGAGTAGCTATGCCCCATCCACGAGTGCTGTATCTCGCGATTCTTTGCCATTTATATCCCAAGCAAACTTGATCGTTTGTTTTGAAGAATTTATGTTCTAGATTGCTGTTTAACATTGCATATTTTTATTTAATATTCTTTAAACTGTATAATAGGTGATTACTGTATTTGTTCATAGGTAGCGAATCTGGGTCTCAGAGAAATCGGGCAGCTTCAGAGTTCACTCAGCCTGTGAACTGCCAGGTCCTAATGGAAACCCAGACTTTCCTCATTTCTGTTCCCTCTACAGTTCATACCGTACTCTACTCTGTTAGTGATTTCAGCACATTTTGTTGCTGATTCTTTATGGTTTTCACATTATAAGTACACAATAACTTCCAAATTATTCTTGGAAAGTTTTGAAATTTAAATATGAAGCTTCTAAAACTGGGTTGTAAGTATAGAAAGAATTAGGGTATTTTTCCCTTCATAAATACATTCTAGTTTGGACTTGAAACTCAAATGTGTTTGAACTGCATTTACAGTGACATCGATGTAGCCCAGCAGTTCAGCCTGAACCAGAGTAGAGTGGAAGAGATAACCATGAGAGAAGAGGTTGGGAACATCAGCATCCTGCAGGAAAATGACTTTGGTGAGAGAAGCGAACTGCGAGCCATTAGTTACCATATAATTATGTGTCGCCGCTAGCAGCTTTTACATTTTTTTAAATTCTTTTGTTGGTACATTTTAGGTGTACAATACGTTTATTTATCATTGGGTGCTTATACCTGTACATGATGTATCTTGGTTCTTATTTTTTCCCCATTACCTGTGCGCCCTTCACCCCCTCCTCCCTTCCCTTTTTACATTTTTATACTTACATATTACATTCTTATGACAGAAGGACTTTAAAATTTAATTTGTTTTTTCAAGAAAAGAATTTGCCTTGCTATCAATATAGCGTCATTTCCTTTAATGGACCAAATGAGTTGATTTTTTTGTCTCTGCTTCCCATACACAGTGGTAGAACCTATACTTTGATCTGTATGAAAAGTCAGCATTAAAATAATGTTTACTTTTAAACTAAGCATTTGGAATGATTACTTGTATTTGCATAGCCACTGTTCCAAGCCTTGGATGTTCAAAACTGATAGTATCTTTTCTGACGAAAACACATTGTGACAAAGTTAAAACCAATGAATATTAATGTAACCAAACATTGCATATTTATGTTTACCTAACATCTTTAGGATAACCTACATTTAGATCAAAGTCTGATTTTGTTGGGCATGCCCCAGAGTTGCAAAGTTTAAAAAGATAAATAAGCAAATGGGACATCATTGTAATACAGCATTAGCTGTTGTCTTTTTTTTTTTTTTAACAGTGGTATTTCTCACCTTTCTCAACTGATGGCTTCCTGTAATTTGTTCAGGTGACTTTGGAATGGATGATCGTGAGATCATGAGAGAAGGCAGTGCTTTTGAGGATGATGACATGTTAGTCAGCACTAGTGCATCTAACCTCCTCCTGGAACCTGAACAGAGCACCAGCAATCTGAATGAGAAAATCAACCATTTAGAGTACGAAGACCAATATAAGGATGATAACTTCGGAGAGGGAAATGATGGTGGAATATTAGGTAGGTCTCCAGATGTCGGATGTGAATTCTTTATTCAGTTGTGGATGTTCTTTTGCTAATTGTTTGTCTTGAGCACCTGTCTAGGTACATATTGTGAACTGCAATCAGTAAGCTCAGTTTTCTATAAAACTAACCTGAAAGTGTTAAAAGCAAACCTAATTTTTATGAAGATGCTCTTACTTTTTTTAAGCTGCTGTTTGTTATCTGTATTAATATATTTTTAGATACATGAACTAGAAAATATGTGATGAATGCCATAATTTTCCACATACTGTCACATAAAACTTATATAAACTACCTTGATCAGAAACAGATCCAAATTGAATACAGGTTTAAATTAAATCTACTTTTAACATAATTGCTACTCTTTAGGTATTTCCCTCTCAGATGTTAATGGCCTCTTCTATTCCAGACGACAAGCTCATTAGTAACAATGATGGCGGCATCTTTGACGACCCCCCTGCGCTGTCCGAGGCCGGCGTGATGCTGCCGGAACAGCCTGCACACGAGGACATGGATGAGGATGACAATGTGTCAAGTGAGCACTTGACCTCCAGTGGTTGGGATGACTTAGGGCATCCGGAAAGATACCTCAGAGAGCAGGCTCCGGGCAGAGGTTCTGCCTTTCAGAGACCTATAAATACCCTCAAGTGCAGTGCATGTGGTGCTTACTGCTTCTGAATCTCTCTTTAACCCTGTGCCCTCCCTTTTTTGTGCATTTGAGTTCAGCATTGGAGGAGCTACCTCATTCATAGAAACATTTTTTCTTAGTACCAGTGGGATTTCTTTGGGTTTCAGAGAGGGGTTTCTTTTTCCATTTGTAGGATATACATCGTATACCTAAGCCTGTTGTGTCTGTGTTTGTTTTTGTAGTGGGTGGACCTGATAGTCCTGATTCAGTGGATCCCGTTGAGCCAATGCCAACTATGACTGATCAAACAACACTTGTTCCGAATGAGGAAGAAGCATTTGCTTTGGAACCTATTGATATAACTGGTAAGCTGACCTTTAGATTATACATTCTGTAGAACACAAGGTTCTGGTTCTGGTTTTCGGCTGCCCACTGATCTGTTGCTCTCATTAGAGATAACTAAGCTGCTTTCTCCTTCATTACAGACATCTATTATAGAATCTTTATTCTGTCTACATAGAACTGGAATGATTTGTAGAGTATCTCCAGGTTGCTGTGAAAGGATAGAACAAGCTCTGTCAGTGTGTTACTTAGCATTTTGAGCTTCCCAAGATATTTGCAGCTCACGTGTAACGATAAGAAAGCATTACAGGTTTTCACAATAAGTTCGACTATTCAGTTATCATTTAATACTTGTAAATTCTGTAAATTTGGGCTGCAATCTGGAAAATCTAAAAATAGTCTTTCAGAAAAAAATAACTAAGTATCAAAGATTCTAAGCTAAGTAATTTTTCTTTTAGTGCTTATTAAACATTACAAAACATATTTAATGGATGGGCTGCCTGTAAGTAAAAAGCAATTTGCAGTATAGAACTCAGAATGTGGGACAAACTGCTGGCGGCTTGCAGAGACAGCAGGGTCGAGGTTGCGAGAGCTTGCACTCCAGAGAAGCAGGGAGAGGACGCCAAGGTGGGAGATCGTCAACTGCTGCACCTTTTTAACCTCATTTTTTTAAACTTCATGCATGTTTTTTATATAAAAACTTACTAAGCATCTGACAGAATAGGATCTTGAGCAATTTATTTAATCCCATGAGCTTCTCAAAAAAAATCAGCATAGTGCTGTCCGCTTTGCAAGGTTGTAAGGATTAGAAACAACTAGAAAAAGTGGAGAGGAGGGAGTTTCAGGTCTGGGATTGGACTCAGGCTTATTTTACTTTATGAAGCAGGTTACCTGTCTGCCACATAGGAGCCATGACTTGCCCGTTGAATGTAATAGTATTTACAGCCATCCATATGCTGAGTTTTTATGACCTCCTATATGTGCTTGACCCTATTTCAGATTGTTAAAATGAAGGCTCAAGTAAGGTGAGGTTAGCTTTTCATAGTCACACAGCTAGTAAGTATCAGAACCCAGTACTCAGGCCCACCTCTGACTCAGGTATGATATGTCCCCTGCAGCATAAACCTCACGAGCTAAAATGCACCTCCCCCCATTCAGCACACTTGTGTGGGAGACCAGGTGCGTGCCAGCCTGTGTTCTGTGCAGTGCTTGTCAGCCGGGTGAACAGTAAGCCTAGGTCCAGTGGAACTTCGTTTGCTGCTGCCTCCCAGAGAAGTGACCTTATTTTTTTTTATTCTAGTCAAAGAAACAAAAGCCAAGAGGAAGAGGAAACTGATAGTTGACAGTGTCAAAGAGTTGGACAGCAAGACTATTAGAGCCCAGCTTAGTGACTACTCTGATATTGTCACCACGTTGGACCTGGCACCTCCCACCAAGAAGTTGATGATGTGGAAAGAGACAGGAGGAGTAGAGAAACTGTTCTCTTTACCTGCTCAGCCTCTGTGGAATAACAGACTACTGAAGGTGAAAAATTTTATGCCACCGACATTCGTAGTAATAGTCCTCTTTTACCTTCCTCTAAGAAACTTTTCTCTGTAACATTACCTCGATGTGCACTGGGCTTCGAGTCTTCACTCACCAGACACTGCCTGCGTGAAACATGTGGCAGTTCTGCTGCTCCACAGCGCCAGGCTCTGGCTTCCTGAGAATTTCTGTCCCGCATAGCCTGTTTTCTGTCTGCACTGGATCCAGGGTGTTTCACATTGAGGGTCAGAGCCACCCGGTGAGTGAGCAGTGAGGAAGGTGCTGCGCAGGGGGACGTGTGCCAGGCCCGAGCGAGCCTACTGACTTCACTGCAACCTCTTTCTGAAGAACTCCTAGCAGCGAGGCTGTGAAGAAGCAACTTTTAATTAGCAGCACTGTCACGTAATTTTGAAACAGATTCTTTAAAAAGTTTATTCTTTGATCTGGTGGACTAGTTTGTTAGAATTTTTTCCTAAGGAAGTAGTACTTCAAAGTATGGGAAAAGCCCCTTCTGTGACGATGATTACATTGTTGTTAAACAGTTAAAACATGAGAAGCGCAGCATAGTAAGGAGAGTGGAGCAGTGGGGCATGTGTGAGGCATTCTGTCTCACACAGGACTGTTCCGTGGCCATTAGAAACGACGACTCAGCGCACTTAGTAAGGTGAACCATCGGACGGACAGTAAGCGAGAGAAGAGAGAGCACCTTGTGAAACGTTCTGGTAGTAAAGCAGTTCAATTGAGGTTTCAGTTTATGACTGTTAAGCCTTGGACAAAGAAATGAAAATCTCGAGTAGAAATGATAGATGAAAAATTATTTTCAGCTTTTCTAGAATTGCTACATGATTTGAAAACTTGTATTTGAAATTATTCCAAGGTGGAATTAAGTGTGCGTGATACCATGTTAAGTAGAAATGTCAGTGGGGGGGTTTCACGTAGTGGGGTTTATTTTCACATCAGTGTATTTTTCTTTAACAGCTCTTTACACGCTGTCTCACACCACTTGTACCAGAAGACCTCAGGAAGAGGAGGAAGGGAGGCGAGGCAGACAACCTGGATGAGTTCCTCAAGGAATTTGAAAACCCAGAGGTCCCCAGAGAGGACCAGCCGCAGCCACAGCCGCAGCAGCAGCGTGACGTTATCGGTCTGTATGGTCGGGGTAGTTCTTGGGAGGAGGGATAAATAAATGTCTGACTTAAAACTTACTTCATTGCCAAAGTAAAAGAAATGGGGAGTGAAGGGTGGGCTCCAGTCTGCGGGCACGGGGGGGGGGGGGGGGGGGCTTGGGTCTGATAGCTGAGGCAGATACAGGGCTTTGTCCCGGGCGAGGTTCGCGGTGACCTCAGCAGGCCCGCCCAGGCCGGGTGCTGGTGGCATCCAGGACCCGTCTAAGCAGCCGGCGCACCCAGGAGGTGAGCAGTGGGCGGGCAGGCCCCTGGGTGTGTATTACAGCTCCTCTGAGCTCTGCTTTCCAGCAGATCGGAGGTGCATTACACTGTCCTACATGTCCGGGCCATGTGACACATGTGGGTTGTGTGCTCCTTATGCGTATCCCATCCAAATCCGTTAGCACACACACCCTGTCTGTGGAAAAGTTGTCTTCCCCCAAACCGGGCCTGGTCCTTGGTGCCAGAAATGTTGGGGACGCTGTGCTGGAGGCTCGTCCTGCTGTTACGCTGTGCAGCTCTCTCCCTGGCTGTCTCCTGTTGCAAGGTGAATCGTCTTTGTAGAGCTAAAACTGTTGGTCGTCTTCACTCGAGGAAGCAGCTCAGCTTATGTCTTAGTGTGCAACTTTTAAAGGTAAAGAGCCCTAAAGTAACAGGACTGTGTGACCCGAGTCTTCCACGCGGTCAATTGCAGACGAGCCCATTTTGGAGGAGCCAAGCCGCCTCCAGGAGTCTGTGATGGAGACCAGCAGGTCCAACATAGATGAGTCAGCCATGCCGCCGCCGCCGCCGCAGGGAGTGAAGCGCAAGGCTGAACAGGTCGACCCGGAGCCTGTGATCCCTGTAAGTAAGCTCCGCGTTGGTCAGTAGCAAGATGGTTCTGAGGGAGGGGCCCCTCTGAAGTGGCTTGCTTTACGCACAAAATGGCAAGGAAGGTCCAGAAGAATGACAGCTGAAGATGGGAATGCGGTCCCGGGTGGCGGGGCGGGGGGGGCGTGCTGGGGCCCTGCAGCGTCCGCCGCACTCTGCTTGAGCAGTCTGGCTGCAGTGATCCAAGCGAGCAGAGCCCTTGGCTCTGAACTTGGTTTCGGTTCACTCTTTAGCAACCATTCCTGTGTGTCTCCAGTACGAGGCAGTTTTAGGGCTGCTTATTGTAACCAGCGTAGAATTTTCAAGTAGCTGAAACAGAACAATGTCCAGCAGTATCTTATCTAGCTGCTCCATTTATACTTGGGCTACCATTGCATTTGGCTCGGTTAAGAAAAGTTCTTTCCAATTGTAAATCTATGGAATAAACTTGAGGAAAGGGGACTCTTGGTAGCCATAGGCTCTTGGTTTGGCCTCCACGGAGAGCTACTGGTAGAATACTCTACCAGTTTCAAGAACCATTTCTCTGCCCTCTGGTGGTAAGGAGTTGTCCGTAATGCATTTGTCTGTGAGCTCAGGAATAGGACCAGGTAATGGGTAGGTGGCTCTAATGCCACTCTCCTCCTGGTAATTCTTTGATTGAGAGTTTGTTTTTTGATATGTGTTCAGCTATTTTATATTAAGCCTGAAAGGAAGGAAACACAGGAGGCAGGCTCAGAAAAAATTATCTCATTATTTGCTGCTATAAAAGTTTGAGAGTCAGAGCTTGATTTTAAGATGCATTAGGGGCTGGGGATTTAGTGGTTCTGCAGCCTGCCTCCCAAGCACAAGGGCCTGAGTTCGATCCCTGGTACACACACACAAAAAAGATACATTATAATAACTTTAAGACAATTCTATAAGATGATAGTAGACTGTACTCAGCTAATGGATTGTATTTTTTTGTTTCTAAAATGCTCGTGAAATAAGTTTTATTTTTTATTTTACAGCTTGTAGTTTTTCTTATTTTACAGACTAAGTATTTGGTACCTAAAAAATATAAAAATTAAAGTCTTATGTTTTAGGATACTGGTTAGTTTTTTCTTGAAAGCTACTTTAATGTCACTTTACAGTTGAAAAAAAAAAACTACTGTAACCGTATTTTTGGTTGTGGGAAAACATGGAGGCATAACCCTCATGTTCCCCCATCTAGAAAATTTAGCCCCTGTCTTCATGTGTTTAGAAGAAGCTGCCTTTAATGTGCACACCTTAGGTTGCTCTGTTGCTCTTCAGCCTCAACAGGTAGAGCAGATGGAGATACCACCTGTGGAGCTTCCCCCAGAAGAGCCCCCAAATATCTGTCAGCTCATACCAGAGTTAGAACTTCTGCCCGAAAAGGAGAAGGAGAAAGAAAAGGAGAAAGAGGACGATGAAGAGGAAGAGGTAAGGAAGCTGTAAATAGATACCTTGATGAATACATTCCTGTTCCAAATTCAGCAAAAGTCTTCACGTTTTACTTTTAATATTGGACTGAATTAATTGATATTAGACCTCAGTGAAAGATGTTCAAATAAGATCTAAATTCTTAATGGCATGAGTCATCATTAAGTACATCAGACTTAATGCGGCGCTGCATTCACGGGCTCCTTTGTGCCTTTGAGGACATAGAGCTGCCCTTGTACTGAGTGCTTGCTTGGCTTCTGACTTGCTATAGCGGCTGTTTAGTATCTGTGGCCAGTGCTCAGTGCCCACTGCGATCATCGTCAGCCTCTACTCTAGCGTCTTCTCTGTCCGTGGCCCAGAAGTCAAGTAACTGAACAGTTCCCACTTGTCTGGACTTCGGTTGTAGTTTGATGAGACCACGGTCGGGCATACTGGACTAAGCAGTCTGTGGGAGTGTCAGAATGGCTCATCTAAGAGCGGAGGTGTATAGAAATGGGTCTCCTTTCCTCGGGTACGTTTTAGTTATTCAGGGTCCTTTTAATTTCTCACAGCATCAGCCACAGAGGTTAGTGCTTTCTTTTCATGTGAATAGTGCATTATTTTAAAGCCAGATTTAACATCACAGCTCCTCCAGCCTGAGTGCTGTTGTGTGCCCTCGTCTCGGTATCAAATCGGTATTTAAAATCATGCTTTCTGTTGTGTGCGAAGCTACTGGCCCCTGCTATTTGGAATGTGGTTCGTAGTTCTGGCGTAGCTGGGGAACAGAGCAGCACTTGCCCCATACCACTTCCAGGCTCACAGTCATTCCGGCAGCAGGTCGAAGTAGAACCCATTGCGGGTGATAGCCCATTTCTTTGAATACACTGTAGAGTCCGCTGCTGTTTACTCAGCTTATCAGCAGGCTCCTTGGTGCTTACCAGTCGGGGATGAGACTGTCCCAGAATGTAAGCACTGAGAGAATCATACTGCACACAAGTAGATACATCTAGTTGAGATAAACATGATGCTTAAGGCCATCGTTGATTCATGTCATTGCATCAGTTCATTAGCAAAGGAACCAGTGACCAAAAGTTTGATGAGCCGCAACAGTCCCTTGGCTACTCTGTAGGCCACGCACCCAGGGAGCGGTGCAGGACTTTACTGGGGGAGCCGGTCCCCGGGACAGCGCGTTCCTTTGTCACTGAAGAAGGACAAACTTCAAAATCCATACTAGTCGCCGTGTGACTTTATTTATTTTTTTATTTTTTGTAAGCATCAGCAAGAACAGTTTTCTATTAGATTACACGGTCTGAATTAATTGAGAGCTTTCAAGTGATACAAATTATTTTGCTTTGCAACAAAGCAGTTGTAACAGCTTTTGGGGGTCATTTTCATTCAGGAAGAAGATGCTTCGGGGGGTGATCAGGATCAAGAAGAAAGGAGATGGAACAAACGGACTCAGCAGATGCTTCATGGTCTTCAGGTACGCGAGTGAATCTTAGAGAAAAGGCTTCATCAGACCCTGTTGGCATTGGTCCCTCAAAAGTTATGTGTTACAGCAGGCAAACAGGCCTTTATGAAACTTTCCAAAACTACATCATTTTAAAAATATTCCAATTGAATACGTAGACTGTCAGGCCAAGAGCATCCAGAATACTTTACCATGGTTTTCCTGAAAAGCAAACCCTTTCAGGAAAGTGATATCTCAGGTGATACCTCAGGGCAGTCCTTTGTCTGTTTTCATCGTCTTATTTTAGGGTGAGCAAAGGGTGACTCGTTGAGTTTGTTGAATCATTGTGTAGCATCAGCTGCCGCCTGTCCCTGAGCCTCCGTGTACCAGGTATAGACATCTCGGCATCTGAAATACCAAGCAAGTTGCTGTCTGTTTCCGAAAATACTAGATTGATTCAAAGTTTTAAGTATTTGACACTTAGTTTTTTTCACTTTAAAACTAGTAGTATAAGTGCTAGACTTTACTCTTGTATCTGACGTGGCCATGTTGGAGCAACTTTGCTTGTCTCTTGGATTTGCTTTGCTTTTGGACGGACTGTGATGCACTTTGGCCCTTTGCCTTCTTGGTTAACCTGACAGTAGCTCGTACAGCATTCAAAAGGTCCAGTCCCAGTTCTGACAGGACATACAATACCTGGTTTTTCCAGCACCAGATTGGCGCCCTTTATACTTTCTTGTGGGAATTGCTTCAATTCATTCTTTTTTGGTTTTATTTCAGCGAGCTCTTGCCAAAACTGGAGCTGAATCTATCAGTTTGCTTGAGTTATGTCGAAACACAAACAGAAAGCAGGCTGCGGCGAAGTTCTACAGCTTCTTGGTTCTTAAAAAGCAGCAGGCTATCGAGCTGACGCAGGAAGAACCCTACAGTGACATCATCGCCACCCCTGGCCCGAGGTTCCACATCATTTGAGGAGCTGGAGGCGAGAGCTAGTGTTCCTCACTAGCGCGTACAGCTTGCCCCGTGCGTCGGGCACCAGAGAAACCCTTTGAGAAAATTTAGATTTTTGTCTGTACAAAACCGCTGCCTTTTCTTTCATTTTTTCAAGTGTTTTTAATTCGTGGATTTCACCTTTAAGGGAAATTGCTTGTATGGGTTGTGTTTGTGTTGCGATGGAGAAAACAGCACCCCGAGGACCCGGAAGCTTATTTTTACCAGTTCAGAACAGATGTGTGCAATATTGGTGCATGTAACGACGTTGGATAACTGTCGAAAGTCGGGATTTTTAGTTCTCTGTTACTGCGTCAAAAGGTAACCTGTCTGGGAACATGCCTGGCAGTGTTACTGGGAACTGGTGTGTCTTTGGCAGGAAAAGTGTCTTCCCGTCAGTGCACTAGCAGCCTGGCTCATCTCTGTACACAGGGACAGCGCCTGACGCCAGAGTCACCCTGCGGGGTTTAAAGTGTGACCCCCCCCCCCCTTGTGACTGAGCCCCTTGGCCACACAGACAGGACTGGCCTGGCCTGGCCTGAAGCCCTCTGTCTTAGAAGTGAACGCATTCCATTGCGTCTGTATGATGAACTTTGCTGTCCTGACCTTTGTTGTTTTAGTGCAGCTCCAAAATGACCAGAAATAGACTTGTTAAAGGGGAATAACTTAAAAACATACCTAACTTTCCAGGAGCAATAAATGAGCGTTTTCAGATCATGAAGATAGAAATCCTTCTGCCGACCAAGAGGGCAGACTGGTGGGACATGACACATCAAGCTGGCTTAACCTTAAGCAGATAGTGCTGTAAAAACTAATGGCTTCTCTGATATTTATTATAAATGTTAGTACTGATCTCTTTTCCAATGCTGCACACTCCTGTGTTTGGAACTTTATTTTAATAACTTTGCAACTGAAATCCTATATCTGGTTTCCTGTAATTTAAATGAAGATAAACACATCCAAATAAAGGCTTTATTATTAACAGACCAGATAGCACCAGAAATTATGTGACTGTCAGTGATTATCATAACGTCTTAACTTTTTAGGGCAAAATTACACTGAAAGTTCTGGCTAAAGTGTTGGCACTTTTGTGGGGAAAAAAATCACTTTTGAAACTCAGACTTCAGTGTATACCCAGTAATTTAAAATTATGTGAAATGTTTTAAATTTGAGAACTCATAATTACTGTTTTAACGATTCAGATTTTGAGACTGGTCTAATTGTATAAAATTGCTATTACAGTTTTATTTTCAATATGATGTGCCTGTAAACCATGGTCCTCCCCCCTTTGTAAAAAGACATTGTAGATAATTGAATGTTTGATTACAGAAAGGTCATTAGTTTCTCGTTACACATTTTGTTAGTCTGGTTTTGTTGCTTATCAGGTTTAATATTGTTCTTGAAAATAGTTGATGCTATGTTATGTATAACTTTTCTAATAAAAGTTGTGTTATAATCTGTTAACTGTGGAGTATTGGTTTTTCGGTTGGTGGTGTTTACTAGGAAAAAAAAATTGGCTGAAAAGTTAACATGGCCAAGTGGGTTGGTTCCCCCTTCCTGGAATAATTGCCCCGTTAAGTGGGTTTGGAAAGTGCAGTGATGACACGGGACTGGTGGCTGTGGCCTGTCAGGCAGCGTAGTCCTCGTGTGGCATTGAAAGGCTACACAGTCATAACCCAGTTAACCTTGGTAAGATGCCTGAGTCCATGTGTACACAAGTGGAGTTCTCTGCCTTCTTACAGCTTACATTCTGGCATGGCAACTGACAGATTCTAAGTCAGAAACCTAGAACATTAGGATAGGCTGCATATTAATAGGGTCGTCAGGATAGGCCTCTTGAGGAAGATGAGGCTCAGAATGAAGAGGCTTGAAGGGTTAGACCCAGGGACGCACAGGTGCAGAATGTTCAGAGAGAAGGGCACACTCGGGAAAGCTGTCCCTGACTTGCTGAAGGTAAAGCAAGACCAGTACGGCTGGGGCAGAGCGAGGTATCAGGAGGTGAAGCGGGAGGGAGGTACAGTGAGCCCTGCATGTCTAGGAAGGCTTCTGAACATCGCTTCCCACTGCGCTCACCAGAGAGCTTCCAGAAACACGTCGCCCTTGGTCCCTGAGAAACGTCCATCTGGTTCTTACTCCAAGGAGCACACAATAGTTTTGAGTGGGAGGAATTTACACTGAGGCTTCTGTCACAACCTGAGTAACTGTCTACGGTGTGCCTGAATGATCCCTGACAATGCCACTGTTACTGGAATTTATGCACAGGCCACCTGGAAAGAGGCCTAGTATTTGCAGTTACATGGACCAGGGTTTGATACCTCAGTCTCCATCCTACCCTTATGGTGGCCGAGGCTCTCATTTTCAGTTACGAAGTATAGGCCTGAACTTTTGGAGTCTTGTGGAAATCAGGTGAAATAAAGGCCATGAAAGGTGCCTAAAAGCACTCGGTAGGTTTTGGCAGTTAAAGATGTTTAAAGCAGTGGGGTTTTCTGAGGAGGAGCTTGACACATACAGGTGCCAAAGATGAGTCTAAAATGATACACACTCCAGAGAATCTGAGGTGCTGGGGCCCTCAACATTCCCTCCTTTGTAGCCCGTCTTCCCTTTGTCTGCAGTGCCCTCTGCTCGCCTCCCACACCATCCAAATCCTACTCGCCTTTTAACATTTATCCTGAAGTACAAATTCCTCAAGGAAGAGTCTGATCCACACCTCATCTTACATTAGGTCCGATTTTCTGATTAAATGTTCTTGTAGCTTCTTGAAATGAATACTAAATGACTTGCAGTTGATTGGCAACACTTTTCTGCCATTGTAGGAACTTTAGGTTTTAAGGTATCTTTCAAGGGCTCAGGAGGTGGGCTCGAGGGTAGAGTGTTTGCCTACCATGTGCAAGGCCTGCCTTCAATCCACAGCACTGCAAAACTGAAAGGCATGTACGACATCTTTTGAGACTTCCTAACTAAATCAATAGAAAATAATAACATTCTTAGAATTCAGAAGTGTCCTTCAGTAGCCAGCTATGGAAAAACATCCAAGTCTGAAGGCAGATAGGACATCTGGAAACCCTGCCTGTTAACTTTCAGAAGCTGTATGATATGTCAGTTAACATAATGTACTATACTTGGGTACTCAATAGCAGTATTTCTCTTGAAGCCATGTTTGAAAAAAGGAAAATCAAATTAGACCTTCTGGTAGAAAGATGATCTTGATACCGTAATGCTAAGTGAAATAAATCAGTCACAAAAGGTGAAATATTGCATAGTATCTCTCATATGAAAGACCCAAAATAAAAGCAATTTAAAGAGCAAAATAAAAAGCCGTATTAACAAACAGGGAGGCAGTCTTAGTAGAGATGGGAGAGGAGGGAGAAGGGATTGAGGGAGTAAAAATGACCAAGATTCCATATGTATATTATCAAGCCCTCAAACTGAATGTAATCACTATGCATCACACACACGTACTAATAAAAAAAAGAAGAAAATGTGCTGTAAGTACACAGTGGAGTATTAGTAAGCCACAAAAGAATGAAATCCTGTCATCTTCAGTAACATGACTGGAACCGGAGGAGATTATATTAAGTAGAGTAAGTCGGGCACGGTAAGACAAGTTCCACGTGTTCTCAACTGTGTGTGGAACCCAAGAAGCTGGCCTCCAAGTAGCGAACAGAACAGCGGTTGCTGGGGCCAGAGGGGTGGGAAATGGATCGCTGACGGAGCAGGAGTAGGTTGGATGGGAGCAACAGCTTCTGCTATTCTGTAGCACCGTAGGGTACGGATGGTTGACAGTAACCACTGGATTATTTCCAAATAACTAGTGGAGATTTTGAATATTCTCAACTGAAGAAATTATGTATCTGAGGTGACAGATACAGCCTCACCCTGTGTGATCTTTACACATTCTATATTTGTATTCAGATACCACTCCGCCCCCCAAATATGTACAGTTACCGTGTCCATTTTAAAATTACAATTTAAAACTAATTGCTTGGTTTCGTGTAACACTTTCACTGAACTGAGTGAAGATATTCGGCGTAGTCTTTTTGGCCAATAAAGAGATGGGGTGGGGGCAGACCGACGGGACTCTTCTGCTGCCAGAGCACCCGGCTGGTTTGTGAATGGCAGTGATTCCCATGTGCTCCGCACCCTATGGGAACACAGCACACACGTCCAGCCCTTGGGCCTCACTCCTGTGGCTCTTGTGGAGTGCACTGCATGAGCTACGCGGACGGTAATCTGAGCTGCCGGGGCAGGGCCGCTGCCGGGCTGGCTGCTTCCTGGTTTCTCTTTAATTTTCATTCTAATTTGTCCATGTTTGTAGTACACGGTGACCACATTCATCGGGGAAGTCGACCCACATGCATCACACATCTCAAGTCCCTTTACTACCCCTTCCCTCTGCTTCCTCCTCCTCCTCCCTCCATCTCTTCATCCTCTTCCCGTATTCGAAAGCTCTCTTTGTTTCCTATTATCCATATTTTATTTTCCTTAATTCATTTGTACTTTGAGTTTCTCATATAAGAGAGACCATGTGCTGTTTAAGCTTGTGTGTCTGATTTATTTCACTTAACATGGTCCCAAGGTGCACCCATTTTCCTACAAATGACTCAAGTTTAGCCTTCTTTGTAGCAGAGTAGTACTCCATTTCGTCATTCCAAAAGAGTTAAAGACATCCTGTTACAGTGATACGGCACACCCATGTTCATAGCAGCACAATCCAGAATAAATAAGGCTTGGAAGCAGCCCCTATGTCTATCAAGAGATGAATGGATTAAAAGTGTGGTATTTAAACACAATGGCTGCTTCCTCCTAAGAACTTTAATTTCCCCCAGGCCTTTATTGGATTCTCCAGGCACATGGGACCACTGCCCTGACCTTACATTTCCGGTTAAGCCCTGCTAAACCTGCTGGGATGACTGTGTAAACATCCTCAACCTGGAAAGGTCTTCTGAGAAGCAGGACTTGAAAAACATAAACCTGGAGACACAAGTCTCATCTCAGATCTCGGAAGCCAGCTGACGCAGGGATTCTCAGAAGTTACTGAGCCCTCAAGGAGGCGTGGGGGAGGAGGAGTCTCATGGGCCTGAAGTGCGTCCCAGGAATCCACACTGGTCACAGGCAAGGCATCCCAGGCAGGCCGTTCCTAGACGGTATTTTCAGATGCTGGAATTCAGCCTTCTCCGCGGAGATCCCATTCCAAATGGCTGGCCGCATCTGTCACCCCCAGTGCGGGGAGGAAGTGCCCTCTGTGATCAGCTATTACTTATGCTCTAGAACTAATTAGTTCTCAATTGGCCGACAGCTGGGCAGTGGGAAATTTTCATACCATGCAAGCTTTCCAGGCTGAGCAAACTGGTACAAGGTCATTTCCAGGAGGCATCTATCCAAAGGACTTTTCATGTCCTGTTCTAATTATCCCAGCTGCTGACAGTTTCCTAAGTGCTGTGAAAAAGAGAAAGAGCACCAAGGGGCGAGTAATAAACACATCAACAGCCACGGGCAGAGCAGCGCAGCTCAGCTTTGCTTAGTGAGTCTGGCCTTGCGCTTGAGAGCCTGGGCCCGAAATCAGTCTCCTGTGCTGAGGGACCCTGGCAGCCCCGGGAGGATGAACTGAAGCGAGTAAGCTCTCAGCATGGTGTGTGGCCCCCGGCAGCCACTGTAGGGCTGTGAGCTGATTTTCGGGCCACTTATGCTTACAGAGTGCTTTACCCTGAGTGCGGGAGCACGCTGGCTGGTGCGGGAGCACGCTGGTGCGGAGCACCGAGAAGAGCAAAAGAGACGCAATTTCACTCACAGTTACACATTCAGTAAAGTTGGTAAGAGAAGCCGGACAGCTTCTTCAAAGAAGTAAACCCTCCTTCAACTCCCCCCAATTATTTCCCCTCATCTCTTATCTCCACAATATTTTATTCATGCCTCTTTGATGAAACGCTTCACAACGCACTGTCCTGTACCTGCTTCCTTCCTTTGACTGCCTGGCTATGGGCTTTTGGAAGCCCCTGAGGAGCCGCCATGATGAATTCGTCTTGGATTCAGTGGGACGTACAGCAAAAAATAACTCCCAGGTAGCCCCCGGTGTCTGCAGATGCTGATCTTGAGGGCAGAGTGTGAATTCCTGGTGTTTTTAAGTCTCATTATTTTGCCTTAGAAAATGAAGGGGGGAAAACTCACAAAGAAGGGAGAGTCATTCATTCTCCACCCATCACCTTGTGGCCAAGGTTTCTCCATGGAACGCTGGCTCCTCGCACCTCCCAACATCACCAAAGAGGTTCCCACCGTGCCTGTCAAGGCCGGGCCAAGAAGCTCCTGTTTGCCCTTGTAATGTAGGATTAAAACAAATAGCCACGGCCCAGATGCAGGCAGTTCACCGACCATTTGGAAGGGAGCCCCTTAGAGTTTGGATAGGTGGCAAAGTACAGGGGAATACTTGATTTGGGATTGTAAAGCCCTACAATAATTATTAGTATAAC